ATGGGTTCCAGCCTCCCGACCCCAGGCATGCTCGAGCCCCTTACAAGAAATAACAGCCTGTGATGGTGCTTAGTGGTAGAGCACTTGCCTAGCATGTGTGAGGCCCTGGGTTTGACCCTCAGCATAGAAAAGAAAAAAGGAAGTATAATATTTGTACAGAACATGTGCATCCTCCGGTACACTTTATTTATTTATTTTGGATTTTTGAGACAGGGTCTCACTATGCAGTTCAGGCTGGCCTTGAACTTGAGGTGATCCTCTTGTCTCAGCCTCTGGAATGCTGGGATTACAGGTGTGCACCATCACACTTGGCCATGTTAGGTATTATCAATAGTCCAGAAACAATTTATACAGGATTGCCTCAAGTTTAAGGGCAGCTTTGGCTACATAGCTAGCTCAAGGTCAGCCTGAGCTCATGGGAAGTTCTACATAGGGAGACCCTGTCTCACAAAAAACCCCAAAAACCTAACATGATGCAAATGCTAACTTGTTGCACTGTGTTGCTCAGGAAATAATGCTAAGAAAGAGTATACATTGGTCAATATAGACACATTTTTTTTAGTATGGGGAATTGACCTCAGTGCTTTCACACTGAGCTACATTCTCAGCCCTTTTTTGTATTTTATTTTAAGACAGGGTCTTGCTAAATTGCCCAGGCTGGGTTCAAACTTGCAGTTCTCCTGCCTTAGCCTCCCAGAGTGCTAGAATTACAGGCGTGCACCACCAAGCCTACCCAGGCAGAATTTTTTAAAAAATCTTTTTTTCAATCTGCAGTGGGTTGACTCCACAGATGCAGAGCCCTGTGTAGATACAGAGGGCCAAGTGTATTCTTATTTTTTGTTTGCAGAGACTGAGAAACCAAGTAACTTGCCTGAAATCACACAGCAGTTACTTTTTCAGTGCTGGGGATGGAACCCAGAGCCTTATGCATGGTAGGCAAGTCCTTTGCCACTGAGCTACATCCCCAGCTGTACACAGTAGTTTTTTGGGGTTTTTTTTTTTGGGTACCAGGGATCAAACTCTGGACCTTTCACTTGTGTGGCAGGCGCTGGAACCACTGAGCTAAATCCCCGGCCCCCACAGAGCAGTTTTAAGAGCTGGGAATTCCATTTCAGGACTGGCTGGCCCCAAGGCTTCAGGTAGACTCAGTTCTGCACACGTGCTGGTGGCTCCCAGGAAGGGAGAGAAAAGTACGTGTGGAGCATAGTTAGGGTTAATCCTGATGGCTTGTCCACTGTCCTCCAAGGCACCATTGCCACAACTTCCCTGCCAGCGTCCTGAAATGAAATTGTTTTGGCTGCCCAGGTTTCCTCCATAAATTGGAGCAGCATCTGGTCTTTGAGGAAAGCCAGGTGTTGCAGGAGCCCGTAACTGAGGGTCCGATGACTCTTGGTTTGTGCGACCAGCTGGCACCAGCTCCCCTGGGAAAATGTCTGTGTGGAAATTCTGATCTACGCACCAGTTATTCATTTCCCCAAATTAGGAACCCCCCAAAAATGATTGTGTCTATAGGCCCCAGAGCAGAATCTGGAGCCTGAACCCCTTTGTTAGCTACCCGAAGGTGCTGATCTGAGAGCCCTGCCTGTCTCCAGCAGGGCACTTCTGAAACTCCAGGACAGTGTTATTTCTGTATTTGTTCACTCCAAAATGCCTTCTCCAGAATCCTTAATCCAAGCTGAAGATGGAAAGTTCTTTCACCATAAGTTTGGCATTGAAACTCATTTGGAGGCTGGGGATTTAGCTCAGTGGTTCTGCCACCTGCCTCAAAAGTGTAAGGTCCCAAGATTCATCCCCGGTACAAAAAACAAAACAAAACAAACGAAACTCATTTGGAGTTGGGTGTGGTGGTACATGGTTGTAATTCCAGCACTTTGGGAGGCTGAGGCAGGAAGATTGTAAATTGAGCCCTGTCTGGGCAATTTAGCAAGACTCTGTCTAAATAAATAAATAGGCCAGAGATGTAGCTCAGTTTGAAGGCCTTGGGTTCCACACCCTAGTACCCCAGAAAACAAAAAACTCACTTCATTTGGTGGCAAAAATCAAGCCAGACTTCATAATCTATTTATCCTTCTTAGTGTGAGTATGTGCATATTTTGCTGCAGAAAATGAAACTGATGATGTGATTTCGGGATTTCTAAAATCTCAAACATCTTCTGGTCTGGCCCCAGGGGTTCCAGTTAAAGGGCTGTGGTCTTACTGCTTAATAATCACTGAACTCAAAAAAAAAAAAAAAATCACTGAACTGGAGCAGGACAGGCCATCTCCTGGGGAGGGAGCAGGTGGCTTGCTTATATTCCTAAAGAAAGCCTTCCCACCCCTCTGGTCAGACTTGATGGCTGGAATTTCATCACCAGGGTGTCCATTCTTTGTTATCCTCTGGAGGCGGTGGAGGAAACCAGAAGTCCCTAATATGACTCGCATGTGGTTTAGTCCTTTTAAATCTTGCCTCTGAGGGAGAAGGCAAGCTGAAGCAAGCGAGTAGCTGTAGAGGGCGAGCAAGTGCTGATGGCTTGGAGATGGGCAGGTCAGAAGCCCAGCCAAACCACAAGCCCTGGGTAAGGTGAAGAGTTGGGCCGACGCCCTGCAGGACAGGCAGGCAGCCTTGGGGAGGGAGAGCTACGCAGCGCAGTGAAGCCAGGCCGGGAGGAAGGCCCGGGTAGCCTCTTCGCTGCCCAGTCTGTCCACTCGAGGGCACCGAAGACAGCCATCTATTGGCCTTCGGAGTACATAACCCCTTTCCTTGGCAAGGGTCTCCAAGAGCAAGCCTTTTGCTTGTATTTCCCAACTTCCTAGTTATCAGCAGTAATTGCAGGTCCCAAACTGTGGTGGCAGAGGTGCCATTAGCTGGAAGGACAGGTGATGGCTTTCTTTAGAAAAGAAGAAATAAGAAACGAGGGTCACACGTTTAGCTTGACTTTAAAGGTGTGGGTGGACTGGGCGGTCTTTCCGAACCAAGGCAAGCGCTCCTTTTGGCCGCTGGGCAGTTCGGGACCGACCGGAGCGCCCCCTGCTGGGTGTGACCCGCCTCCCTTCACCGCAGACTCCCGGCAGCTGCGGGGCGCCCGGCGTTCACTGCGCCACCTGGCGGTAGCGAGGGGGAACGGCGGAAGCGCGCCGACCCGGAGCCCCGCGGGCCCCAGTGGCGGCTGCCTGCTGCCGGGCTGCAAAGGGTTAAGCTGTCAGCGGCGCGATGTTAAACAGGTGTCAAAGGCGCCCCATATATCTGCAGATTGAAATCAAATTCTTTGCCGTATAAAAAGATAAATTACCCAGGCGCTGCCGCGCGTCCCACTCATCACGCCAGCGCCAGACGGCAAGCAATTTTTTTTTTTTAATGTGCTAACGACCTAATCAAGCAATCAAGTCGGAGAAGATTGCAGAGTGACCGGGGCAGCCATCTGCCGGCGAGCCCCGCTTTCATTCCTGTGCCCCGCGTGGGGCGGGGGCCGGGAAGGGAGCTGCCGGGGGAAGAGGGGAAAAAATCCTCAACAAATTAACACCCAATTTTTCCCGTCTAATTAGTTAAATGAGAAGTGTTTGGGGTCCCCCGGGGAGGGGGGGGGGCGCCTCGCGGCGAGGCGAGCGCTGCCTCCCCAGCATTAATTAGTGCGGGTCAATGCTGCTGTTCCCGGAGGAGCGGCCGCTTTAATTTCCCGTGATATTTCAGTGCCTGAGGCCCATCGATTCAAACTGAAATTAACTTATTTTTCAATCAGCCCAGGGCTGCCCCTGGGGGTGACTCTTCTTTTGCCGCCTCCTGAATAGAGCTGGAGCAATTTTTCATCAAAAGCTGATACCTCGGCCACGGAGGGCGGGGGAGGAACCCGGAGGGAGGTGGGGGGCTGGGACGCCCGAGGCCTGGGGATGGAAATCGCAAAGGAAATGAACGGATTTTCCGAAGCCCGCCTCTGCCCCCTCACCCCCACTCCCCTAGGGTGCTCCCGTGCCTTGTCACCCCCCGGGTCCCATCCCCAAGGGACAAGAGACCAGAAGCGCTGGAGTGGGTGGACCACCGGTTTCCAGAGGGCCTGTGCCCTGCTTGAGGGACCTACTGGGGACACTCCTGGCTGTCAGCTGCTGAAGCCTCAGGAAGGCTTTTTGGGGGGACCAAGACATCCTGGGCTTCCAGAACAGGGGAAGGGTTCTAGGATCTCCCCAAGAAGCTGCAGGCAAATCTCTGGGTGCCTCTGTCCTGTCCAGGCCTTGCAGTAGTCGGTGTAGGAGCCAGAGAAACGTTTCCTAGGATGCAGCCTGCAGCTCTCTCCTAGACCCCTACTCCCCTCGCACCCTGGAGAATGTCTTCATATCCTGACTGAGGGATGGCACCTGGTTCCCCAAAATTCCATTCAGTTAGACCCAGAAGCATGGGCAGCGAGTGGCAAGAGAGCAAGGCAAGAACAGCATGGCAGGGCTCAGCTGGGACAGGGCAGAGGAGGAGGGTGACTCGGGCCTCCAGCATAGTCCTCCCTGCTCGGACGGACACTTCCGGACAGGTAACTGGATAAAGTGTCCCCAAGACTGTTCACTGCCTGATGCTCCCTGGGCCCACTCTGTGGCCTTCCTGGACTGCTCTGGCTCTGGGTCTCAGGGGGAGAGGAAACCCTAAGCAAGAGGCCCTGCCTGTCAAGGACTGAGGGAATCTGGATGGAAAACAGAAAGAGGTTCTGTGAACACCTACCAGAGAGCTGCCAAAGCCGGCTTCTCAGCTGCACCCCCAGGACCACTCTGGGTGCTGCTCTTCTAGGCCCTGTCCAGGAGGCATCCTTAGCCTATCTCCCTAGAACTGCTTGGACTGAAAACAAAAACGATGCCCATTTCACCCATCGTATTCTCTTGGGACTCTGATGCTCTCCTTCCGAGCCTGGGGGAACTGTGGGGCCACCGTGGTGGGAGAGCTGGGTAAGGACACCCTGCTGAGAAAGCCACGCCAGGCAGACAGGGCAAGGGCCTTGGGCCCAGCACTTGGAGTGCAGCCCTGACCCACTCTCCCGCACTGGCAGGTCTGGTTCCAGAACCGCAGAGCCAAGTGGAGGAAGCGAGAGAAGTGCTGGGGCCGGAGCAGCGTCATGGCGGAGTATGGGCTCTATGGGGCCATGGTGCGGCACTCCATCCCCCTGCCCGAGTCCATCCTCAAGTCCGCCAAGGACGGCATCATGGACTCCTGTGCCCCGTGGCTACTGGGTAAGAGCCCACACCCTCCTTGGGCGGGCTCCCTGGAGGGGATGTAGTGCTGGGGCCAGGAGACCTGGGCCACAGCAGCCCAAGGGGAAACAGACCCGCTATGAGGTTCACCTGGGGGAACTCAGGCAGGGAGGGCCTGGGGGCTGGTTTCTGTCCCTTGCGCCTACCTACTGGGTGCTAAGTTCTGTCCTCTTGGACAGGTCTTTACTTCTGTAAGGAGAGTGTGGCTATTTTCCCAGGGTCTGTATTTACCTTCCCTTTGGCCACCACTCTGGCTCTGTCCAAAGGACTTGTTCCCCTCAAATGTCTCCCCCCTCCTTGTATCTGGGTCCTTTTCTCAGAACAGCATCTGCTCATCTTGGAGTTCTAAGATCTGGAATCCCAGGACAGAGAGGTGTGGTTGTGTCCTGAGGGACAGAACAGACTGTAGGGGGAATGGATGTTCAGGGGTTTGGTGTGAAGTCCTCTATAGGCCTGGTTCCCAGCCTTTGGCCTGCAGCCCTGTCCCCTTGGCCATTTTCCCTGTCCTTGGCCCCAGCCCAGTCTTGGGACTCGCGCGACTGTGGGGTGTGAAGAAAGGCTCTCTGCTTGTCCTTAATTCTGGCCTCTCTCTATCTTTGCTGTTTTCAGTTCAAGATGGCTTTCCCAGGCGCTTTTCTAAACCCGAATACCAACAATTCTTTTTAGGGATGCACAAAAAGTCGCTGGAGGCAGCAGCTGAGTCGGGGAGGAAGCCCGAGGTGGAACACCAGGCCCTGCCCAAGCTCGACAAGATGGAGCAGGAGGAGAGGGGCCCTGACGAGCAGGCAGCCATCTCCCAGGAGGAACTGAGGGAGAACAGCATTGCAGCGCTTCGAGCTAAAGCTCAGGAGCACAGCACCAAAGTGCTGGGGACTGTGTCTGGGCCAGACAGTCTGGGCCGGAATCCCGAGAGGCCAGAGGAGGCGGAGGCCATGGATGAAGACAGGCCGGCTGGGAAGCTGAGTCCACCGCAGCTCAAAGACATGGCTTAGGCCAAGGGCCACTCAGACACCAGAGCCCCAAGACTGCTTCTCCCAGGGAGGGAGGTTCTCTCTGGGGCAGGCCAAACCTGGTCTTGGCCACCCTCCCCCTGCCCCGTAGGCCCTCCATGACCCCCACTGACTCCAGGCACAGGTCAGTCCTGGCTGTGCTTTTGGACCATGCTGAGACATCCTGGACCCTGTCTTGACTCTGCAGCTTCCTCTTCCTCATCCCAGCATCCCTGCCTCGGAAGCCTTCTTGCTGCCCCAGCCATCCCTGTGAGCCCCTGTCACTCAATCCCTTGGTAACTCTCACTGTCCAAGTCCTCCCCTTCCTCTCTGTTCCTTGGCTCTAAAGAGGCCTCCTTCAGGGCTGGGGATTTAGCTCAGTGTTTCTGCCACCTGCCTTGCAAGCACAAGGACCCGAGTTCGATCCCTGGTACCAAAAAAAAAGAGGCCTCCTTCCTAGCTCTGAACCCCCTGTGGATTCTGCTCAGTCCATGCCTAAGGGTTGTTGCTGTAAACACATTGCCTGCCGCAGCCGTGACACAGTGAGGACCTGCATTCCAGCTCCAGTGTCCTGAGCTCCCCGTTCCTCAGCAAGTCTTCTCCCCTCAGCCTGTTCCTACCTGCACCGGGCTTCTGTGTGAATATGCTGTTCTGCAGGCCCACCTGCAACTTCCGCCTCCTCTGCCCCACCCCATGGGATTCTGGGCTAAACAGGAGAAGTCTGGGCCTGGGCTCCTCAGTCACCCTTAGCCTCCTTCCCTACTGTGGTCACCTTCAGGAACCTGCCTAGCACAGGTGCCAACACCACATATAGCTTGTACAGTACTCACGGTGGGTCCGGGTCCTGTGTTCAGGGAGGGTGAGCAGCTCTGTTGGGAGCCCAAACCCTCTACCCAGAGCCCTTGGGCCCCTGGGCCTGTGTTCTGAAGCGTTCTGACTCTCCCCATGTGCTGCCTGTGAGCTTGACTTGCTGTGCAAGGGACCCTTCCCCTTGAGCTTCTTGCAAACTCCTGGTTCGCGTGTGCTCTGCTTGGAGAAACCTAATGCAGCTAGGAAGCCACAGACCTGGTCTCAACTTAACCCAGGCCACCTCTAAGAAGCCAAACCTGGAGTAGGCCTGGGCCATAAATGTTCATCGAGGGTGGGTCTCAAGAAGGGTATGGGAAGAGGCTCAGAGGGAAGCAAGGCAGGAGCCTTGCTGAGTATTAAACTCAGACCAACTGCAGGCACTCACACCTCCAGCCAGCTGTACGTCGGAAGTTCAGGATGTCTGCTGGAATCAGTCAGACTCAGGAGCCATATTGGAATAAAGCACTGGGTCCTTCTGTCTGGTTGTGGGTAGGCTTGTCAATGCTGAGGGCCTCTCTGCAGCTGCCCTCCCCACCCCAGCCTTTATTTACCTTCTGCATTAGTAGTGAGGACACAGCTTCATGGAGCCCAGTGGGCTTACATTCCCAGGCCAGGTACCCGGCCCCCTTTACCTCTTGACATCTACCAACCCACCCACCTTCGCAGGGAATACATCCCAAGAGGGGCTGAGACACTGAGTGGCAATTGAAATTCTGTATCCAAAGTTGATTTCTTCATTCCATTCACAGAACCCTCCCCTCTCCAGTTCTTGTCTTTGCCTTCTGTTGGTTTGAAATGTTAGACTGTAGCCCTGGTGTGTAAATAATGTACATAGAGTGAGAAGAAACTTGATATTGAGGTGTTTGAAATATGGAACTGTAACAACTTCTAGGCATTCTAAAACCTGTGATTTCTGTGCCATTTTCTGTAAAGATACAAGTAAGAATAAAATTGAAGTAAAAACAGCCAGGGAGGGATCTAGGAGTCCTCTGTGGGCGGGGATGTTGTATGTATACGTGGCAATCCACAGTGATTTTTAGGTCAAATCTAGGTTCTTCTTTCAAAATTACTCCAAAGGTACAGCCCTTCAATGACATCTGTACATGTGACATTTACCCTTCTCTGTTGCAGACTGAATTACCCCAGCCATGGAGTCCCTAAGTTACCACCTATAATGCCCCCCCATCCTCCCCACACAGTAGATCTCATTTAACCCTCCTCCAGGTCTGACTTATAATCATCTATGTCCTTTGCACCTCCGGTGAATCCTGAAGCCCACATGGGCCCCCAGGAGCCCAGGCTCCCTTTGTGTACTCTGTGCATTTGCATATGTTATCTTCCTCCTAAACAACAACAAACAGAAAAGGTAAGTGTATCTGGGACTGAACGTCAGAGATTATGCTAAATCCTGGTCAAAAAGGAGGGGCACCCAGGAGAAGGAGCTCGGGAAGGCTGCCTGAAATCGCCTGGCGGCAGCTGTGACCCAGGAACTTGATGATGTGCTGGGTGGAATTACAAGATGAGAGTGCAGTGCGCAGACTGGATAGGTTCTGCTGTAGCTTTGGGCTCAAGAAATAATCCCATAAGATTGTTTCAAATTGGCTCAGATGTGGAACTCTCTCATGGAAGAGGAATCTGGCAGGCCATTATCCAGAGAGAATGACAGGAGGCTGGCAGTCCCTGTACTCACAATTAGACCCAGGAGGAACCCGAGGGACACATATGAGAACTCTGGCCCTGGCTCGGTGAAGGGATTCAAGTCCTGCCTGCTTGGGCTGCTCCCTGCCTGCTGAGCCCCGAGCGAGTCAGGCCCCTATAGGTCTCATCCTCGCCCCTCCATCTCCCACTGCCCCTCATTCGCCTCATCCCCAAGGCCTTCCTGACCCTGCAGGGAGGGCTAATGGCCTCTATTCTCTTGCAGCACTTGGGATGCTGCTCTGTTGTGGCATTTTACTTACCAATCTATCTTTCCCACAAGACTGGGTTCTGGGATTTATATCCTATCTTTTATCCCCAGGACTCATCAGAGGGTCTGCTACTCCATCCATTGTTGAATGAATGAATGAATGAATGAATGTTCTGTCTATAACTAATCCAACTGGTCAATAATTTATCAAGATTCACTGAGTAATATATCTAAGGCAGAGGGCCAAGGCCCTGGGGATATAGCGGTGGGCAGAGTCCCAAGTCCCTGTGGTCATGGAACTTACAGTCTGGAGGGAGATAGAACTCCAGTAACTGTACCAATAAAAGACAAAAGTTCAGATATGCTAAGACCTTGGAGGCATGATTTATGAGACCATGAAAACATATGATAGGGTGACCTGACCCTCTGTGGGACTTGGGTCTGTGTGGGCCTAAATGGAAAATAATACCTGCTCTCACAACACTGGTGGGGAGAAGCCAGGACACAGGGTCAGGTGCCCCAAGAGTGCAAGAGGAAGACAGTCATGCCAGGAGGCCACTTCAGGTCCAGGGGTGCCATTGGCAGCTGTCCCACCCTCAGGGAGATCTGGGGAACAAACTGGGACACTCAGAGGCTTGGAAGATGCCAGAAATCCCCCCTGAATATTCACCCCAGGAGGGGAATCTACCCTGGGCAAAGGCAGGTGGCTGCCCACAGAGGGAAATGCAGTTAGGCCTACAGGTGATCCATGAGGGGGAGGCTGGGAAGCCACAGCCAGGGGAGGCCTGATCGGCCAGGTGCAGGTGGGCAGATCAAGGAGAGATCTTGCTCAGCTGCTATGGTACCCAGGAGCCTACTCTCCCCTCAGCCCTGAACCTGACCCTGGAAAGGCAAGGGCATCCAGGCTGCAGGCTCACCAGGCTGCCGATAGATGGCCGCATGCACTGGAAAGCACCACAGAATGGTAAAGAGTACTGATGGATGAAGGCTGCCACTGGGCTGGCCTGGCAGGGATGGATGAGGAGGCGGCCAGCTGAAGCGAAAGGTGGGTACATGGGGTGGAGACTGACCGGGAGCTCCTGAGGCTCAGGCATGTGGCCTGGAGAGAGCAGCTGCAGCCCCTGGTCTTCACCATTCCTGGGACCTGGGCCACTCTACTCCCTCCTGACCTCTCCAGCCTCTTACACTGCCTACTCCCAACAGCTCACCCCGGGCTTGAGTCTCTCCTGCTCCCACTGGAGCTGCGATGCCCCCTCTCTGACCTCCCCTTGGGTATAGGGGTGGCATCCTGGTTCATCAATTGTCACAAAGGAACTGATATAGGGAGGAAAACATAACTTCAAATGATACACTGAGTTCGTGTTCCCCAAAATTGAAGAAAGAATTCTAAGGAACAAAGGAGGTTAAGAGTAGGAAATGTAAGGGCTGGGGATTTAGCTCAGTGGTTTCGCCGCCTGCTGTGCAAGTGCAAGGACCCGAGTTCGATCCCCGGTACCAAAAAAAAAAAAAAAAAGAGTAGGAAACTTTATTGAGAGAGAGAGGTAACTCCTGGGAGACAGGAGGGGACCTGAAAGTGGGTTGCCAATGAGCCCACTTCTCAAAGGAAGTTTACTGAGCAAAATCAAGAGGTGAGTACAATGTGGGTCAAAACTATAAGCAAACAATAATAAGTATAGCTGCTTGGCTAACAATCCAATAATAGCAAGGGCTTATTCATGACATCACTAACCTAATCTAATAGTCTTAGTCTTGTTTTTAGTCTTGGTTTAAGTAATCTTAGTTTTAGTAGTCTTAGTCTTTGTGGGTGAGAGAGAATGGTCCACCCCTAATGAGATAATGGCTTCTTTATATAGGAAATCTCAAAAGGGTGGTAGCAATAATATCAAACTTCTGTTTATCCCTTAGGGAAGTATGGAAATCTGGCCAAGACTTTAATCTTCAGATGTGCCTCCAGCCACAGTTTTGATGTGTTCTCATCTTCTGTACTGACTCCCTCAAGGGCCTAGACCTATAATATTTCTACTTATCTTAGCTGTCTATAATAGAACCATGGTAGATGTCAGTAAGGGGCAAGGGGGTAAGGGAGTGATGGGAACTCTGGGCCCAAGTCATGATTATTCTGTAAATCTAAAATTATAAAAATAGTATTTATTTAAAAAATAAACTAGTTGGGCTGGGCGTGGTGGCACAGTCCTGTAATCCCAGCACTCAGGAGGCTGAGGCAGGGGGATCTCAAATTCAAAGCCAGCCTGGGCTACACAGTTCAAGGCCAGCCTGGAATACAGAGTGAGACTCTGTCTCATTACAAAGAAAGAAAAGAAAAGAAAGCGAGCTAGTTGGTTGTCTAGAAGGAAAACAACAGATGGCTTCTTTAGATCAGAAGTGCCAGGGCTGGCCCTTTCTCTGTCTCTAACTCCCTCCACTTACTAGGGTGATCACCCAGGCACCCTCCAGGGTCAAGAGCTGGTAGCTGTGACAAACAGTGGAGGAATGAGCAGGCTAGTGGAAAGCAACAAGGCGCAGACTTTATTCACCTGGGTGCAGGCTGACTGTGGGAGACAAGGCCGTTAGTGGTGAACAAAGACAAAGCAGGGAGCTTTGTAGGGGATTGGGAAGGGGTCTGCCATATGCAGGGGTCAGAGCAAATATTTGTGGTCGAAGTCCATGCAGTGGTCAAGGCAGAGGTACAGATATTATCAGGTAACTTGGCACTGGAGAGGTGCTGTGCTGTACTTTGCTGTCTTATCTCTTCTTTTTAACATCTGTGTTCTATCTGCCTAGAGAGAGCATGACCCTTATCTGTTTTTCAGCTGCCTAGAGGGGCAGCATGTTTTGCTGAGGGCTTCGGTTTTTTACATCTGCTAAACACTGTAGTTTGGTATTAAACAAGATGTTTACCGAGCAGGTCATGGTCAGATCAAGTCTGACATCCCTGTCTTTTTGTTATAATAGAAAAAGAAAAAGAGAGCTGGGAGGAATGGGATAATGTTTCTTAAAACTGCTTCTCCCATGACTTAGGGGTGGCACAGACAACCTATGTGGGAGAAAAATTTTGGGGAATCACATTATAGTGGGGAGTGGCAAAGAAAACATCTGTGTAGTAGTAATTGCTATATGCAGTTTTGTAGGAATTGTGACAAGAGCCTAAAGAGGCAAGGTCCAAAGATGAAAAAGAAGACAGTAGACAAGAGGCCCCACCACAGGAAGGAGCCATGAAGCCCAGTCCAGTCATTTCTGAAGCCATTTCAATAACCCTTTTTGCTGCATCTTTCACTATCCCTGATTGATTTGTGTAGAAGCAATATTCTTCCCCCACCCCCCCAAAAAAGAAAAAAGAGAGCATAGGTCACCTTTTTCTGCTGTCAGAAGGTTGAGATTCCTCTGATTTTGTATAGTCACAGCTGCCAGAGAATCTATTTGGGTCTGTAAGGTGATAATGGATTGGCCTATTTCTTTCAGGCTCTGAGAAAAGTCCTGAGATAGAGTATGGTAGTAAGAGAGGGAGAGTGGGAGACCTGCTATTGCTGTTCCTGTTGCAGCACACATGCCCAAGCCAACAAGCAGAGGAATCAATTGGACAGCCCTGTGCTGCCGGACCTGGGCTCTAACTACAACAGGCAGGCTCTAATTTCTCAGGCCTATATCTATTTTGGGGCTAAGATATACTAGTATACAGGTCCCAGTCCAATTGGCAGGGAGGCACAGGTAAGTGGAGGTACCACAGAGAAAGAAAACACCTTGGTTAGGCAAGCAGAATTGATTGTGAATGCTGAAAATGCTGAAATGCCGAAAATGCTGAATTTGTCTTGATTTCCCCAAACATTCAATGTTCCTGAGAAAGCAGTTCCCATCAGGGGCTGGAAAGGTTCCCTGACTTCAGAGGTCTGCTGGGCACCTACAGTTGAATTTTCCCAATGTAGGAAGAATTTCTTGTTGTCTATTAGCAGCCATTCTGAAGAATGGTCCTGAGTGGTATAAGCAGGCAGTCTGATGGGGTGGGAGGCAGTGAACTGGCATTCCATGGGTGCATGGCTATGCAAGGGAGATTGCAGCCAT